ATTGGGAGTACATCTTGGATGGTTCTTTGGAGAATAGAGCATTTATCTTCTTGGCCTCTGTTTCTCTAGTGTATCTCCTTAACCTGGTAGCCAGTGCTGTGAGCCTTTGTTTAGCAGTCTCTAGGGCTTGTAGAGGCAGGGCCTTGTATTTTTTTCAGTAGCTGAGTCTTATCCTTAATCTCCACACCCTTCTGTAGTTCCACCAGCTGACTAACCTCTCTGCAGTCTCTAGGGCTTGTAGAGGCAGGGCCTTGTATTTTTTTCAGTAGCTGAGTCTTATCCTTAATCTCCACACCCTTCTGTAGTTCCACCAGCTGACTAACCTCTCTGAGTTGCCTTGATCTTAGCCTCCAGCCTCATTTTCTAGGGGAGGTATTACTCCTATTCTTGATCATGTAGCCAAGCATCTCCAGGATTACAGTGGCTGTAGTGTATACCAGTTGATTGGTTTGAGTTATAGTGGTACTAGGGATTGTTGTAAAGGCTCTTTTGGCATCCTCTACCATACTATTTGATATATCCATACCGATATGGATGGATGGATGGATGGATGGATGGGTATGTATATATACATACATACATACATACACACACACATACACATACTCTACAACTCTGATTCTATGACTGGAAAAAATCTGTGCTTCAGTGTTGATGATTATTATTAACAAATATTATGCAGTGCTTTTGAAATATATACATACATACATATACATATATTCAAAAGCACTGCATAATATTTGTTAATAATAATCATCAACACTGAAGCATCAGATTTTTTCCAGTCATAGAATCAGAGTTGTAGAGTTGGAAGGGACCATAAGAATAATCTTTCTACAATGTGCAGGAAAACCAATTAGACCATCCATGAGAAAGGTCTGTCTAGTCTCAACCAGAGATGGAGAACCCATAACCTCCATGGTTAGATTGTTCTGCTACTGTTCAGACATTATTTCCTTATGTTTAAATGAAATCTAGGTAGCTGCAACTTACACCTCTTATTTCTAGTCCTAGTGTCTGTGGACATAGAAAATAATTCTTGACCATTTTGCCTGTAGCTTCTCTTTATGTACCTGAAGATGGCTGTCATTGCCTCCCCTAAGTCTGCTTTTCTTCAGAGTGAACATCAAAAGTTCCTTCAGCCTATTCTCATAGGACATTACTTCAAGTTCCTGTATCATCTTTGTTGCTGTTCTCTGAACCCCTCTAACATATCAATATCCTTTTGGAAATGCAATGCTCAGAACTATAAGCAGTACTGTAAGCAGTACTCCAGGTGTGATCGACTACTCCAGTGTTGAATAAAGAGGAATATATTGATTTCATCTATCTTTAATACAGTGCTTCATCTAATGTAGCTTACAATGTGTTAGCTCTTCTAGAAGCTGCCCCACCCTGCTGCTGTTCAGCTTGTTGTCAGTGGCCACATCCAAGTCCTTCTCAGATGTTATCTTTCCAAACCACAAATTCCCCATCTTGTATGCATATTATACATTTTTTCTCCCTAAATACAATACCTAACATGCCTTATTATTCTCAGTCCAGTTTTCAAAGTTGTTCAGATCAACTGCATTCTCTTTCTGTCATCTGGGTATTGGCCAGATCTCCTACTTTGGGAAATCTGCAAATGGATATGCAACCGATCAATCCCATCATCCAGGTCATTAATAAAGTTGTTGAATAAAGCTGGCTCCAGGACTGTTTCTTGTAGGATGCCACTGGTGAATGCTTTCTAATGATGTAGAGCCATAAATGCTGAATTTCTGGATGCAATTGGCCAGCCAGCTGTTGAGCCACCTTACTGTATTGTTATCCAAACCACACTTCAGCAGTTCGTTAATGAGAATGCCATGTGGAATTTTGTCAAAAGCTTTGCTGAAATCAAGGTGGATTATATACACAGTATTCCCTTCTCCACTAGAATAGTTACACTAGCAGAGGAGGAGACAAGATTTGTCACATATGATTTATTTTTGACAAAGTCATGGTGGATCTTAGCAATCACAGCATTAACTTCCAAATAATTACAAATGGTCTACTTTATTACCTGTTCTAATATCTTTCCAGGAATTGTAGTTAGGTTCACTGGCTCACTGGGATCCTCTTTTTTCCTTTCATGAAGAGAGGAGCTACATCTGTTCTTCTCCAATCTGTTGGCACCTTTCCAGTTTTCCAGGACTCCTCAAGGACAATGGACAAGGTTTTGGAGAGCTCTTCAGTTCCTTTGGTATTCCAGGATGTCTTTATTTCCTGAGGCTCTGAGGATTTGAAGGCACTCAGATTAGCTAAACATTACTTTACTACAGCATTACTGATTTGCATTCTTCCCAGCCATTCTTGTGGCATTGCTGATTTTTGACAATGCTTTGTGCCTGAAGGCTTTGTCTTGTCTTCGGAATACTTTTTCAGTGGCTTCGTGTTTAATTCTGTTATTGTAATCAGTGATATTTAAAAGCAGTGCTCCTGAGTTTCTAGGTTTTATTTATGAAGATATAGGACAAACTGAGCAGAGTGTTCTTTCCATAATAAGCATTGCTTCATTCCTTGCTTGAGAAACACTTGAGTTAAACATTTGTTTCCACCAGTTTTATGTATAAACAAGCCTGAAATTAACTTTGTCTGTGAGTTGGTAAGCACAATTTTGTGGATTCACATCTCTGCCTCAAATAACATGTAAAGTGCCACTGCTTTCCCCATTAAAGTATCTTTTTACTTTATACTCATATATTATATAATTTTATTATAGCCACTGTTGTGACACATTAGTTTAAAGGATACTTGTTATGTGTACATTTAAGTGTGTCTCCCAGTTTAATGGAAAGAAGTTGAACACATAGCTCTCCCAATGAAACCAGTGACATTTAAAATAATTTGGCTTCAGCTCAGTTATGCCCTACATTATTATTATTATTATCACTAGTATAAGGGTATGGGGTTTATATAATTCTAAAGAAAAGTGTCTGCTGTTATTTCAAGGTAATAACCTGACATTCACTGTATTCTAGACATTTAAGCTGTAGTGGAAAAGCTCAGTAAAATAGTTGATTTACAGCAATACATCCCTAGGAACTATATGTTTTTATTTTATTTATTTATTTATATTTCAAATTTAGATACCGCCCATCTCACAAAAAGTGACTCT